TTTTGGTGAATTGGTAAAAAAAAAAAAAAAAAACCAATACGGTTCAAGAAAAAAAAACAATCATAAAAAATGTTTCTGGCTGATTTCCAAACAGGGACCTTTTGCCTGTGAAGTAAAGATGATAACCCCTCTGCTACTGGAGCAGGACTGTCTGAGCACCCTCAGCAGAGTTAGGGGGCCAAACCTGGAGAAACACAAGAAAGGGGCCATGTATGCCTGCAAATACTTGAAGTATGTGAAGAGTACTACGTTTTTACAAAAAGTATCTATACAGGTAGTCCTCGTTTAGCAACAACAACTGGGACCAGCAACGCTGTTGCTAAGCAAAGCAGTTGCTAAGCGGGAAATCATGTGACCGCAACTGTGCTTTCCTTTTCCCCACTCCCCTGCCCTTTGGGATGCTCACCCCGGCGCTGGGATAATTAGCAAGAAGGGAATTAATGTTTGCATTTACATTCATTGGAGAGGAAGGGATTACAAGAGAGTCAGCAGGCACCCAATGGGGAAAGTGGTATGCTGGCACCGTCAGCTGTGAGTGCACTACGCAAACAGCCCAGTGTATTCCGCATTGTGTGCCTGCTTATTCTCTTGCAACCCCTTCCCCTCCAATCTCTCCACTCTGCAAGGGCGGGGGAGAAAGGAAAAACAACAGGTCAGGCACAGGACAACATGTATTGACTGTAATGGTGATCATGTGAATGAGGGACGCTGCGAGGGTTGTAAGTGTGGGCATTGGTCGTAAAGTTATTTTTTCAGTGCTGTTGTAACTTCAGATGGTCACCAAATGAGACAGTCGGTAAGCAAGGACTACCTGTATCTTGTAAGACCCTCCCATCAAGAATATTGTGTCTCAGACTCTTTGGCATCTTTTGACCTGCCATGAAATGAGGGCAAGAATGCCCCGTGTTCACAAAAGCTGTGGGCTGCCACTGTTTGGACTCCTTTGCCTGCAGATGATCTCATCCAGCTGACCGCCATGTGTTGGATGCGGGAATTCATCCAGCTGGCTGGCCGGGTGATGCTTCCGTATTCTTCTGGGATCTTGACGGCCGTCCTGCCCTGCCTGTCCTATGACGACCGCAAGAAGAGTATCTGCTCTGCTGCGCCTCTGCATCTCGCCTTGCAAGGGCGGCGGTGGAGGAGGAAGAGGAGGAGATGGGGCTTGGGTTCCCCCAGGGGAGGGCTGCTCCTCCTCTTGCCCCGTGGATTCCTCAGTGAGAGTCTTGTGGCTCTGCTGGCAAGCCTCGGAATCAGAGGATTTTTCCAGCTGGGTAGAGGAATTGCTCCAACTCTTCCGTGGATGGATTTCAGCAGAAGAGGGGAGGCTGTTGCTCCTGGGGTAGAGAGCAGGCTCACAACTGAGTTGTTTTTGTTTCCTTGGAATGAGTGAGATCATCTTTCTGAGGCAGCAAATCTCATGCCAGTTCTCTAACCTCTGTCTGGGTGACCCACCAAAGTGCAGTTGGAAAAGGGTGTGTGTGTGTGTGAGAGAGAGAGAGAGAGAGAGAGAAGGAACTTTCCACACAAAGCTTTCTGGGTAAGGTCAGGGCATTTGTTCTCCAGATTGCACTTTGTGGCCCTTTTCTCTCCCACTCCTTCAGTGATTACCTCAAAATCTAAATGTCCGCTTGTGAGAAAAATACATGATATCAACTTAATTTATGCTGTTGATGGCAGAATGGTGCTACAGATCACAAAGCCACACTGGGCCTCCCCCTGCCTTACTCCTCTTATGGGTAGCCCCAAAAGAGAACATTCTTCCAGTTAGGGAAGTTCTCTCTTGCTGGTCAGGGATCTTCTCAAGGTTCATGGATGTGGCCTGGCTCCTTGGTGCCCTTGTAAGAGCTTGCCTTGGTCTGATGCCTTATTCTTGGTGGTGGCCACAGACCAGATGCAGTGAGTGAGAGGGAGCAGGAGACAGAGAACCTTGGTTGCCCTCAATGTCAAGCCTCCCAGCTATGCTTGTTTATTTCAAGGCTGGTGTTTTCCAGAGAAATCAGTTGCTATCTAGAAAAGACCATTCCTAACATCAGGGCTGGCTGGACAGAGGAAGGAGCTGGGCAAGAGCTCCCTCTGTCCCTGCTCTCCTTGCCTGAAGGTGTGAGGCTCCCCAGTTTGGGGGCCTGATTGGGGGATTCTCCTGGGGTTTGTTGGAAATGTCTTTGTTCGAAAATCTTCTTTGATCAGTGAAATACAGATATTAAGGAGGTGGCTGCTGTATGCAATCAGAGCTTGATGAAGTTGGTGACACCAGAAGATGACGAAGCAGACGAGTGTAGGGAGCCCACGCCAGCCCCCCAAATAGAAGTGGGCCAAGAAGAGGCTGTCCCCAAGCCAGAGCAGGCCTCAAGTGGTGAGTCCTGTTTTCAAAGCCCAGGATTTTCGTATTGCCCCCGGGGCAGAAGCATCATCCCCATCTTCTCATGGCTGAGAGGAAGATGTGCTGCCAGGAACTTGCTTACGGGTTTTTAGGTCACCATTAAAGAACATGGAGGAGGAATTGATAATCCAGCATGGTACTCATGGTGGACACTGAGCCCTGGTGTCCAGTCCACCTTCTTAAGTTGGCTGGAGTGCAGCCATGGTAATGGTGTTCCCTCCCTGCCCTGTTAGCCAGTCTAGGGCTCTGGAGTGGCATTTGGTTTCCCTTGAAGCCCTTCCACCCAAGAGAGAGGGTTTGCTGCTGCCCGGATCGCAGCCACGAGAGCTGCAGCCCTTGCTGCAAATGTGAAGTGAGTATTGCAAAGGGTCCCCCCCTCCTGAATTATATATTGTCAGAATTTCATTTGCTATTTTGCCATTGTTTTGTCCAGTTCCTTTTGGTTCCCCTGCTTTGAAAACAGACCCGCCATCTCTCAGTCTTGAAGTTTCAGATAATATATGAACAAATCATTCAGGGCTTGTCTCAACCTGCCAGACGGAGTTGTTTATTTATTCAAAGTATAAGTTAGCCAGGCCTCAGTGGTCCATGCCCTCGTAAACCTCTTGCTTGGATTGCTGCAGACCTGAGCAGATGGTCCAGAAGTCCAGCTGCTGGGGCCACATACCCCTAGTTCAGAAAGCACTGGCCTGAATGCCTGTGAGCAGAGGGGTCACTGCCAGTTTGCAGAGCTCTGGAGAGCTGAGGACCAGGCACTTCCCAGCCGCCTCTCCCTGGAAGCTAGAAGATCTTCTTCCCTAGAAGATCAGCTGGAGAGTCCCAGGGTTTGGCTGGAGGGAGGGTGTGCTCAGTGATGGGGTTTTTCTCTCCAAAAGGTCCAAGCCTGTTCACCTGGGGGCAGAGGGGAGAGCTGTGTTTTTATTAGATTTCCTTAGTTAGATCTGCCTTACCTAGAGTCCATCATCCTTCAGACATTATTTCCTCCGCTCCGTGCCTGCCTTGACAAAGCAAGGCTCTGTGGAGGCTCCTGCTTGCGCCTAGCTGATTGGCAGTGATGGTGGATGATGGCTTTGCCTTTTGCTCCTCTGAGAGGCAGAGCAAGCGATGTAGAAATGCAGTGGATGACTGACCCGTGTCTGGGGCCTTGGAAGAAATGGATTTTGCCTCCAAACATCTTCCCTGTTCGATTTTGGGGAGGGCTGAAGCCCTGCAGGAGCAGCACTCGTGGCCCTCACTGGAAGGTCTCGGTCACCTGCGGTCTCTTTCTTTAGGCTGCCTGGATGCCTCTAGCGAGTCGGATTTCAGCAGCGCCAGCATCTTCGTCCCGGCCGGGTGAGTGATTCATGTACCCTCCTCTTGTTTTGCTCTGAGAAAGTGGGGAAGGGGCTCTGCAGGAGGAGAAGGCCTGCACCAGGAGGTATTTGAGGGGGGTGGGAGCGAGCAGGTCACTCTCCTGGGCTCTTTGGAAGGGGCAGCCATTCCCACCACTGTGGTCTGAACAGTAATTAGCCAACCCAAACTGGGAGCAGAATTAAATTCCACGATAATTGTTTGGTTGCCTACGTGTGTGATTTTTATAACTATTCATGGAGGGAGAGGCTGGTCAGTTGCACATATCTGGCCTTTGAGCACATATCCGTTCAGGCCTGTGAGCACGGAGAGCCATTGGAGCCGTTCTTACGCAGGCCGGCTACGCTTTTGGGTAGCCTTGTTGCCGCCTTCTGCCATCCTACGTGTTTTTCCCTCTCACCGGCCTGACTTCCAGTTGTGCTTTTAGGATCTCCCCCTCGTTTTGAGCTCCTTTTCTCCTTGGAATCCTGTAGATTGTTGCCCTGACTTTTTTGGCTACAGACAGCTTTAGTTTCCCTTAAAATCAAGAATTCTGAAAGGTTTTTCTATTTTCACATCTTGAACTAAGTCTTACCTAGTGTTAGGATGAAGTTGAGAATAGTCGATCCTTGTCTGGTTTCTTTCCCACAGTGGCAGATAACGTTATTAGTAACTCATTAGGAATTTTCTGGAAGATCTATGTTTTCCTGCCTTAGTCTCCAAACCAAAGTTGTAGTAGATAAAGTCACCCACAGCTGCTGCTTTTTGCCTGTTAAAAAGACTGAAGAGTTAATTTTGGAAAACATAATTTTCATCATTTTGGTTAGGGTAGAAATAGGAGACACCAATAATATTTTTGTTTCTCTTCACATTTCCTGATTCATTCTTTTAGATTCGTGTGGGGCTGATAACAAACCTGCTGCTCCTCTTGCCTTTCTCTCATTTCTGTTCCTTTTAAGTGAAGCATGTCCATCAGCTCATCCTGCTTGCCTCCATTATAAAATCATATTTGCTTTCCAATTCTAATCTTTTTCATAGACAGCAAAGGCCGTGAATGTTACAAACCAACATTCTTTTTTGACTTTTAATTTAATTGTTTAATAGGTCTATTAAGCAATGCTCCCACTTTTTCTGCAATTCCCAAGCATTTATGTGAAGTCTTCACAGATTTTGCCTCCAACCTCAGTTTAAAACCCTGATAATCAAACTCACCATGCTGTCACTTAATACATTTTGCCAGCTCTTGTGAAGTGCAACCATCTTCTGCCAGATAGCCATCATTTAGTTGTCAGACCGTGATCCCCCAAACCCAGTCTCTCCCATAGACAGTTACTCATCTTCAGTATTCTTTCTCTGAGTCCTTGGACTCAGAATGCCACTGGAGCCTCCTGAGTCTTGAGTTTCTTTCTTGGGCCTTCAAAGTTTTTAGCCGCTGAATCCCGGGTGTATTCTAATTGTCAGAAATAGTTTTGTCACCCTTCACACTATTGATGGGTTCAGTCAGCCGGCTTTTGTTTCTTTTCCTCATAATACTGTAACTCTTCTTTGTGTTCCTGCAGGGCACAGTTTCGTCCCCTCTGCCAGTCAGAGGTCCTTTCTCCTATCTTCTGTTCTACAGTGTTTTGTTTCTGCATTCCAGAGGTGAAGGGTATCTCCTGGTTATTGTCAGATTCTATTATAGTGTGTTCTTTCTTTGATCTGATGAATCCTTGTTCGTCATCAGCTGAAGTGGCCATTTCTTACTCCGATCCTTTGACTTTCTCTTCAAGCTTGCGCTACTGCAAATAGATCAGTTCCTCTGCTCGCTCTCCTCCCCTTTCTTTTTTGTCTTCCCCTCCTCTAACTTTCTTGTCAAACTCCTGTTAGCTCAGTGAGTGGGAGAGAGATCAACATTCACCCTTAGAAGTTGACCTGCTAAGCAGTGGCAACTTGTTTATCTGGAAACTTATTCCTAAAACTGCAAACACTACAACACTTAGCATTATCTAGGTTTGGTGCTAGAGAAAAAGAATTAGGTATTTTGTGCCAAGCTAGTAGTATCCATGTGTCCAAAGAATCTTAGAACAAATGCCATCGTCACCTCGGGATGTTGCTGGAGCTTGGTGCAATCATTCATTTTTTTAAAAAATGCCTCATCTGGATGGGGCACAACAGGCTTCAGCTGAATCCTGGTAAGACAGAGTGGCTGTGGGTTGGGGGCTTCTCTATTTCCAGAAGTTTACCATCTTTGGTCCTGGGTGGGATTGCACTACCCCAGACTGACCCAGTGCGGAATCTGAGGGTCCTCCTGGACTCACAACTCCTGCTCGAGGAGCAGGTGGCAGTCGTGGACAGGAGGGACTTTGCTCAACTATGTGTTGTGCGCTAGTTACGCCCTTTCCTGGATCAGGAGGCCCTCCGGTCAGTCACTCGTGCCCTGGTCATCTCCCATATAGACTATTGCAATGTGCTCTACATGGGGCTATCCTTGAAGACTATCCAGAAGCTACAGCTGGTTCAAAATGTGGCCGCGTGGGCAATCTTGGGTGCCCCAAGGATGGCACACGTTACACCTTTGCTGCGGGAGCTGCATTGGGTGCCAGTTTGCTTCTGGGTCCAATTCAAGGTGTTGGTTATCACCTTTAAAGCCCTACATGGTATGGGACCAGGCTACCTGAGGGAGCGCCTCTTCCCCATTACATCGACCCATCCCACCCTGTCAGGCAGAAAAGGTATGTTACGGACCCCGTCAATGAAAGAAAGTCAGCTGGTGGGGCCCAGGAGGAGAGCCTTCTCTGCTGTTGCCCCTGCCCTATGGAATACTCTCCCCCCAGAGGTGAGGCAGGCCCCTACTCTCCCAACCTTCCAGAAAGGGGTGAAGACCTGGCTCCGTCAACTCGTGTGGGGCGAGAAGAGGGGCAACCAACCCTGGGGGTGGCTGCCACCTTGAAGATGCTGCCGAAACCTTTATGTACATCAGTATCTTGGAAGCCATTCTTTATGTATGAACATGTTTTTTATTGTATTTTAATTAATATTTATTCTTGTTTTACTGTAAACCACCCAGAGTTGCTCTTGAGTGAGATGGGCGGTGACTAAATTTGAAATATGAATAAATAAATAATAAATAAATAAACAAAGATCAAGTTATTGGCAGGGTACTCTGTTCCTGTATTCTTAGATTTTCAGTAGTCCAAGATTATAGTGGTGTTCTTGTTGTGGAGCCCCTCTCCTCTTTCCACTGAACATTACAAGAAATAACTTGGCCTCCCTTTTTGCTTAAAATTCGAATGAGTAGCACGGGTCCTGTGGCTGCAGGTGCACGCCTTGCTGCCTTCCTTGGCGCTCAAGGAGAGAGACATCAGACCTTCCCAATGCCAATAAATAAAAATTATTCCCTTCCCCAACCTGGTTGGACTTCCTTGAGAGCACAGCTCTGCATCTCCCTGCCATGCCCAAGACCTAGCATGGAAAAAAATAGCCAAAGCTAGCAAAGTTGGCCACCAAAGGAAAAGGGGGAGAGGCGGGGAACTGAGCAGTCATTTGGGGAAAGCTGTGGAGAGGCAAGGGGTCCAACTGCATGAAAGTGGGTCAGATCTGGGGGGTGGTACAAGAGGGTGACAGACAGGAGTGCCAGAGCTGGAGAACAGGTTGCCTGGGTCTTGTGAGGGCTGCATGGAGGATGGGAGAGGAAAGAAGGCCAGAGAGTGACGAGCATGAGGTTGGGAACTGTGCTCAGGATCCCATACATCTTCGGAGCTCGGAGCTTGATGGGATAGGCTGCTCCTCATTAGGGCTGCTCCTGTTGGGGACTCTGAGCCGAGGTAGAAAATGACCATAATGGGGTGGCTTGAATCTCTTTTCAGCCATTAATTTCACAGGATGATTTTGGGTTTGATGAGCTTTTGTGAATAGAGAAAGAACTGTATCCATCGCCTTGAGCTACTGGAGAGCTTTAAATGCAAGCCATAATTAAAATACTCCTCTCCCAATAATATAGCTTTCTCCAGGACTCCTTGCAATGGTGGGGCAGTGGGGCTGACCAGTCTGGAGACTTCACTGATATAACCAGCCTTTAAAGCAGCCCCCTCTCAGTCTTGCCTGGAAAATTGCTGGGGCTTCATAGAATCATAGAGTTGGAAGGGACCGTAGAGGGCCTGGGTCAACGCAGGATCCACTGGAGCATCTCTGACTATCCAGATTCTGTTTGAAGACCTTCAGCAAAGGAGAATTCAGTCCTTCATGTGGAAGCCTGTTTTAACTGGCTGACCACTTGTAGAGTCAGGAAGTCCCTTCTGAAGTCTAGCCTGACCCTCTTCCTCAATTTGGCTCCTGCTGTCTGGGACAATGGGGAATAAATTCTGTCCTCCTCCTGTGTGACAACCCTTCAGATATTGGAAAACTGCTGTCATACTGCTCCTCAATCTTCTCAGTTTGCTATACCTAACCAGGCCTTTAACAGGCCTACTGTGCTAGTAACTCCAACAAGAAAAGAGATGGCAGCCTGGCACCCTTTGTGACAAACACATGGTGGCTGCTGTTAAGTGGAGCATGCCCATCCAAGTGCTCGCAAGCACCTTTTGCCCTCCCCTTGTTTATCCTAAGTGGCAGTTCCCTCCTTCCCCCAGTGCCATCATGGAGACCAATGAAGGCTCCATTTCCCGCCTTAGAGGAGAGGGGTGTAAAATAGGAGTTAAGTTCTGCCTTCTCACCATAACCTGTTACTGATTCTCCAGTCTTTCTCATAGTGAACCTGCATCTTCTTTAGCTTTCCGTTTGTTTGTAACATATCCAAAGAACTATTTTTGGTGGCTTTAGCTTCTTTCTGATGCAGTTCCTAGAGTTTCTGGAGTCTATCTTGTACTCTTTGGCTGGAACTTACAGGCTCTGGTTGCTATAGGAACACTTGATTAGCATCTGTAGATGTGTGGTCAGGTTGAAGGACACACAATTCGTAGACCTTGGGAAAAGTGCATATAAGGAGGAACTGGCAAGATAAGATACAATGCTTTATTACGGTCATAGTCCAGCTCAAAAATGGAAAGAAAACAAAGCGTGGGGTAACAGAGTAAAACCGGTGTGATGTGACATACGGAATGATGTACTTTACAAATAACAAAACAAAACTTAGCCACGTGAAGAGAAGTAGGTTCCCATTGATCATGCAGTCTTTGTCACAGGAGCAATATAAAAGAAGGTGGTTAGTGTTTCAGGAACTCCTTCATCACAGGAGCAAAGTCAAATGCCCCATAATTCCCCCTTGAGAATAGCTGTGGGGAGGGCATGACATCTTGATAGGGTTAGGAGTCTTCTGAATTTGGGACTGTTACTTGGCGTAGGTATCTAGCTGGCTTGCAAAAAGGTGATTGGCTGCTCAAGAACACATGCCCTCTAGGTACAGCAGTGCTAATTGGGCTTCGAAATCTTTGGTGCTTGAACAGTTGCATTCATATCCCTTCTTCAGGAATGCATTAAGTGAGAAACCGTTTGTTTAAATGAAAAATCATTTATTTTTCACAAGATTCATGCCCTGAGGATGTCTTCCGAGAGGCATGGCTCCTTATACTGCAGTAATAACCTAAACTAAAATAGAAACTTGAAATATGAAGAAAACAGTGCTGAAACATTTTAAAGGCTTGGGAGGACTGAAAAGTCTTAACTTTGTCATTGGAAGTTCATTGCAATGGCCAACCAGGTTCCATAGGAAAGGAAGAAATACACCCTTCTCCCCATTCCCCACCAGAGGTGAATATATGGGGTGCATGCAGAGCAGATTTGTCCCCTGTCCTTCAGCTTTCAGCTCCCAAATCACCTGAGATGGTGGTGAAGGGCTCCCAGGAAAGATTGGGAGCCCATGAATTAGTCCTTTGGGTCTGAAGTCCTAGCCCAGGCCTGGATAAAGCATCCTGTCTCCGCCTCTGCTCTGCTTTTTTCTACAGCATGGAGAGGAGTTGTGTGACCCTGAACCTTGATGGAATTGTGCAGGTCCTGGATTGCCACCTTCATGATTCAACCACTGGGATGATGACACGAATTGCAGTCTTGAAGTGGCTGTACCACCTGTACATCAAGACACCTCGCAAGGTAGGTCATCAGATCCAACCTGACTTGAGAAGCAGGGTTTCATTGCTGCTGACATTTGTTGTTTGGATGGGGAAGGAGTGATTTAAATAGCAAATCTGAAGTTTGGGGGCAAATGTCATCTGATCTCAGCAAAACATTTCTTGATGCTTCCCCAGATGTTACTCACAAGTAAGATACAGATAAACTTACTACACTTACACTTATTGCTGTTAAATTTATTACATGTAGTGTACACAAAGCCAGGTGTTTCACCATTCATTGCTTGCCGCATGAGAAGAGCTGTGTCTCTGCTCAAAACCAAAGGTGGGGAGGCAGGGGAAGGTCGGCCATGAAAACAGAACTGAGCCTTTTGCTTTTTGGCAACTGTAGCTGCTCCTTTGCATGCCAAAGTTCTAGGCATGGGTGCTGCAAAAACTCCTGCCTTTGAAACTCTGGGCCTCCCCTGCTGCTTATCATTCAGGGTCTGTCTGGGTTGAAGGCAGCTTCCAAGTTCTAGACAGTGGAAGCATAGGCTTTCTGGCATCTGACACTGAAACCAGTTCTCCACAAGGAAGACATTCAGAGTAGTCATAACCTGGCACAAGAGAGAAATTCTGGATCTTTGGAACTCAGAAACTCTTCAGACCCTTGAAAAAAATGAGTCCTAGTCCTTTAGGGAAGGAAAAGGTTTGTGTGTGTGTATATGTGATTTGTACCCACCACAATGAACTAAACAGAACAGTGAATCCCTGAAGGGTAAAGGGGGTGCAGTTGTGCCCTGGGTGAAGACAAAGAAAGAATTGTGGTAGTGATGACTTGTGAAAGAACAATGTCCAAGAATTGGGGAACATCATCCCCCCTGAGGTGAGACTGGCCCAATCCTTGATATCCTTCCAGAAATCCCTCAAAACATGGTTGTGTCAATAGGTGTGGGGATCTCAAGGAAAGGGTGAATTGCTGAGGTGGCTACATTGCCTGTAACTTTGAATATGCTCTCTCCTAGTCTTTTAATATTGATATTTTTAAATTGTGGAATGTTTTTAATGTTATTCCTTTTATGGCTTGTTTTTTATTGTATGCCACCCAGAGTCATATTTTGTGAGATTGGCAGCTATATAAATATGATGAATAAAATAAATCACTAAGCCCAATGATAATTCTCCCTGTCTGCCAATACATGTGGGATCTGTAGTATGTTTCTTTTACTTGAAGGGTAATATCTTCAAGTCATTTTAAAAGCTGGGATGGAACATGGTACGAATAGCTTCTTTTGAGAATTCTGTGTTCAATTTTCTGGACGATCCCACCAAGAATAATAAAAGCTTCCTGATAATATATTTGGGTGTTGGCTCCATGGAGTAGGGAGAAATATTGTAGAGACAAAATATACTTCAAAGAAAGTACAGCTACATCATCAGAAACTTGGCAGATGTGAGAAAGAAGCTCAAGATTCTGAGGGCGCAGGTGCTGTTTTCATCCACCCTTTCTGTCTATGGAAGAGGACCAGGAAAGTGAAGAAGTAAAGTAAAGTAAAATAAAGAAGCCTTCGTGAGTGGTGTCAACAGAAGAGAGTTGACTATTGGGATCATGATCTGAGTTATCTACATAATGGATTGGTGCCACAAAGATGGGCACACCCCACAAAGACTGACCAAAATTTTTAGACAAGATCAAGAAGACCGATCTGTTACCTTGACTTCAGTAAAGCAATTGACAAAATACCCTATGACATGCTGATTAACATGCTGGTTAAGTATGGGTTAGTAAATGAATAGGCAGCTGGTTAGAAAAACATCTCACAGTGTGCTCATCTGTGCTTTCCACCTTGCAACAATGAAGAGCATTCCTGAAATCTCTGCCATGCCTGTTTCTTGACCTGGCCTATCTCAAAGGCTGACAGAGAATTGGTTTAGATAGTGCCATTCAAAATTCCCAGAAGAATAAAGAAGACAGTCAAGGGCTGTAGGGCACAGAATCGTGGATTTAAATTACAGAAAGGCAGATTCCAATTAAAGGTAAACAAAAAACAAAAAAAGGTAAGAGTGGTGAAGAGCAATGACCCATGGAAGCAGTGGGCTCTCAGTTGAGCAGGAGGTTGGACACCACAGCCTCAATGTCCTCTTTGGTTTCATGACTCTACCAAAATTAGAAAAGTCTTTTTAGAATGCTCAGCTGCGTAATGCCATCTTCATTATTTTTAAACTCTTTGTTTTATTGCTGATTTTCTGCAAGCATAACTATAACTCTTTTCTGTAGCATAATTATGTTATACATTCCTGAGATTATAGGCCACTAAGGTTGTGATGCATTATTCTTTCACACAAAAGAGACGTGTTCTCAAACTGGAGATAGATCCTGTGTGGAGGAACATAAGGCAGGGATGTTCTGTGATGCTTTTGGATTCCTTTCCCTTGAAGTGTTGTTTGCTTTTCAGATGTTCCGGCATACAGACAGCTTGTTCCCTATCTTATTGAAGACCTTATCAGATGATTCTGATGAGGTAAGTGGAACTTCTCTGCTGTTATGTTATTTGGTCTATAAAGCATCTTAGTAGGTTGCTTCATCCTGACCATGAGTGTTGTGGTTCCTCTGTCCCACTGATGCAATTTCTGGATTGCCTTTTGCATGACTCTGACTTGTATGGCTAGCTGGAATGATCCAAATTGGTGAGTGGAGAAAATAATCTACTACAGGGTTTTTGAAATTTTGCCTTACTTTGACCCCTAAAACAATAAAATGAATTTGTGTGACCCCTGTGAAACTATTGAGGTAGGGTTGGGCAAGAGATAAAATATACTGCGTTTAATAACTACAGTACAATTGTATCTGTAAGTCATAGGGCTTCTCATACTTTGCAGAAGCAATGCTGCCCATGGAAAAAAGAAAGCAAAGCAAGAAGTAAAGCCCTGAGTAAATTTTGACACCACTTCCGCTTTCCCTGTGCAAGCCTGATCAGGTTTTAAAAAATATACAACCCCTTCTAAGTTGCTTGTGATCCCTCAGGGCTCCTGATGCACACTTTGAGAATCCCTGTTCTAATGTTGTTTAGCTGGGCTGTTTTTGGAGATCAGAGACACCCAGGCTTGTCTATAAAGCCTTTAGTCCCTGTGGCACAGTGATTATCTGAGGATCGGTTGCAGGCCATTGGCCGTAAGGAGGTCTTCACAGCTGAGGCCTTCCATTGCTTGCAGGCTTTGGCTCATTCCTCAGTGATGGAGAGACCTAAAAAGGTATTCCTGATTGAGAACCTGGCACTGTCTTGCATTTCCACCCAAGGTTCCTATGGCCCAGACCCTGCTCCCCTTTAGGAGAACCTTGAACTTGGCTCTTCCCCCAGGCACTGGGACAGGATGCTGTGTGAATCCAGAATTTGAGTTGATATTGTTTAATTTCATTCCCCCAGCATAGCCATTTTTACTATTGTTTCAATTGATTGTTATGACTTGTTTTAACTTTCTGGAAGCCACCCAGAGTTGGCAAGTGGGCAGCCTTTGAAACTGAATAAATAAATACATTCTCACTGGAACAAGAAATTGAACCTTTGAGAACCTAGAAAAGGTAGGGCTGGTTCCTCCAGGTTATCTGGCCCTGGGGCTTGTCTCTGAGCTTCTCAGCTGGGGAGGGGAAGGGCCTCTCTCCCATCTGACCCAGCTGGTGGCTCCTCTGGGACAGAGCCTGGCTTTTATGCAAACATGGAAGTAATGATGTCTTTTTAAAAAAATCTACCTCTATATTTACATCTAGAAAACAGCTCACTTTTAAAACACATCTCTAAACCTTGATCATACAGAATATGTTAACTGATAAAGGACCAGTTTGTAAGCAGAGAACAAACACAGTAGCATCAGTCCAAAACTATAAAATCCAGGGTAATACCATCTTTCTTTGGTAGAAGAAGAATCTTTGGAAAATTATGTTCCATAACATTCATAATTTTTCATAGGATAAATTTCAATTTTTAGTCCAATATTCAAAACTACACCAACATCTTTATGCCCTATTACTCTTCCCAAAACCATGTTAACTAGCTATGGACATTAAACCAAAACAAACAATAGTGGAACCAGCCCATATCATATGTGTAATTGTTCCCCTTCTCCCATCATTTTGTCTGTAGGAAAACACATTGCGATACTAACAATACATCAAATGTTTTGATGCCTCTAATGCACCTGGACCACACTGGGCATTTTTGATGTCTGATAGCAGAATATGTAGCAGGTTCCTAGTAGCAGTTCATCTTGGAAACAGCTGTAGAAATCATATCCAGCAGGAAACTGAGATCTCTCTTCCATGAAGATTGTCATGATTCTGCCTTGTGACACTGGGAGTGACTAAATTAATCTCAATGGCTTTTAGTGGATGATCATTGTTATTTAGGGTACCCAGTGTTCGATGCAACATTCATGGCCTGAAATAGCCCTACTGGCATAGTTGGTGGGAGGAGAGAACAGGAAGTGCTTGTTTGTGTGGAACCCAGGGAAGACTTGTCAGGAGGGAATCAACACCAGAAGTCAAATCTGCCAGGTTGTCATAAAAATCAGTAGGGTGGCTGAACCTGAACCTCAGAGTCCTATTAAAATTGGGATTTTCACCCAGACCATCCAGTGCTCTTTTCTCCTGCACTATTCACTCTTTCCCAGCAGGGCTTTCCAGAGGAATGAACTCACGTCCTTTTCCCTCTTCCCTTTGTTGCAGCCTGGATTGTAAGTGTTGTTGGAAAGGGCTTTCAGACCAAATCCCATGGGTCTTTTTTTCCATGGGACGCAGATTACAAATCCAATGAAGTTTAGCAAAAGCTGCCTTTATCTATTTCTCCTTTTATTTGTGCCTTGTTGGATTTTGATCCATGGTGCCTCTGGTTCCCAGCTTTCACTTGCCAAGTTTGAAATGTGGGATTTGATCTGGAATGAAAAGAACAACATGGGTAAGCTTGATATGACTTCTGGTTTGTTTCCTCCTGCTTGTTCCCACTTCAGGACTTGGGAGCTTAACAAGCAGAGGGGTTGACCATCAGGAATGAAGCTGTATGGCTGGGCCAGCAATATTTGTATCTCTTAGTAGAGATAGTCTGGCCTGCCCTGGCGAGAAGGACAAGCAGTACCTTACAAATCTGTGAGCTATTGGTAGGTGAGAGACCAGCTTCTTCTTCTCACCATACATGTTACTAGCAACCGTTTCTGTTTGGCGTTAGAGAAATGTTGCTCTTGGTTGTTCATGAAAATATAGTAGCTCTCATCAGAAGTTGTGGATCTGACCACTCATCTGAATGAACTCCTTATTTGTTCTTCATCATTGAATAAACACTTACAGAATGACTCTAAGATGCCAGCGTGATTCATGCAATAGCTCCATCTCAAGACCTTCTTTACCTTTAGATGGTCTTCAATAAAAAGAAAACTGCAAAAAGTCCTGCAGGCAGGGGAAGTGATTGAAGTAGCCACACCATCTGTTGTTGGGGATATCAGTCTTGCTGTCCATCACTTCACTCAACACATAAAGATCAACCTATTTAAATAACACATTTGAGAATGGACAGTACAGTCAGTAGATAAATGCAGACAAAGGAGGCAGTGACTCAACACCATTTGCAGCCTTTTGGGGGAAAGCTTCTAAATGCCCAGACTAACTGGCTTGACCACCACAATCTTGGTTAACAGGAATGGTATTTGCATCTAGGAATGTTCTAAGAAATGACCAGATGCTTTGAGTTTCCCTGCCTGTGATGGAGGACTTGGATGAGGAGATTCAAGGTCATGGGGAGAAGAATTTCAAGCATCTCCTCAGCCCGCAGCCTGAGCATGTGAAAGCAAAGAGGATGAGACTGGTACCACCCTAAGGAATTTGCAGTGTTTAGTTGGAGACTTTGGGAGTTAGAGTTAGTCTGACGAGATTCTGTCTAGCAGGTATAAGCTAATAAAGTAACTGAGCAATTCCAGAACCATCCCGTGGAGTTTCTTGGGCTGAACCTGAAACTGCCATAGTCTCTTTGCAAATAAGCATGATGGTGTGCTAAGATACAACTTTATGGATACCTAATCTAGCCTCAGGTTCCCATGCTGATCCCAAAGTCACATAGAAGCTTAGGAACTAATATTGGCATTTAGCACTTGCAGTTCTGAATTGGCCAAGATCCCAAGTGGCCCCATGAACATACAAAACTCTCCATGAAGTTACCAACCTGGCTGATTGTACTCCATCGCCCATTAGGGAGAACAAGGCCCTAAGTCAATGTCCAATCAGGACATTTCTCCGGGGTGCAGATTTAATTAGACTTCTCATAGCCTGTGGATTTATCTTCTGGAAGTTTGTTGCAGTGCTGAAGGCCTAATCAGGACTTATTTGGTCCACCCATCCCCTCACAGGCAGCCTTTGGTAGTTGTGTCCTAAAGAAGGTCAGCAGGCAGTGGTCAACTGGCCCATCCTGGAATTTTCCTGCCCCCAAGCTAGCTGGCCTCCTGCACTTCAGGGAAGAACCAGAATTTTTTTACTTACCTGGGAATTCCTGTTCTTGAATGAAAACGTCTAGGTAGCCCTTTAGTGCCAGATCTGCAATGTTCAAATCCCAATGAAGAAAAATCTCGTGCAACCCGAGTTAGGTTCAAAAAATATTTCATTTATTGGAACGTACATGCAACTCTAAGAAAAGCATTGCTGAAATTAAAACCCATGCTTTTCCCACTTTACTTTTACCCCTACTTCTCACCCTCTCCTTTCCAGGCACCAATTGTGGTTCTCACAGAGGTGTGACCTTGCACATTCCTGGCCTTTGATAGTGTCCCAGTTCCTTCTACGTTCACTTCCCCCTCCCCCCTCCTAAAGAATGGCAGAATCAAAGCAAGCAACTACTACATTAATATTTTGATTGCTGAAGGTTCTGACAGTTGGTTTGGCAGATGGAATACATTTGCTCTTCTCCATTAAGTTTCCAGGAACTAGTGCATACGACCAAAAGAACAGCATAGTGTAAACTCAACCCTATTTGTTGAAGATGACCTTGGTAGGTAGTACATGAAAAGATATTGTCATAGTAAACTATAAAAGCAGAATGATTTAGTCTTTTTGCATTCCGCCTGTACAGCCTCTGAGATCTGTGGTTTGATGCTGTTCTTGGTTTTTGCTCTTCCAGCTTGTTGGCACAGATTTCTAGGGGCTTGGCACCTAGTTAACTCCTCCTCTGCTATGATTGCTAGACAGTTGATCTCTTGGCAAAGGCTAACTTCCCTAAGGGTTTTTTATCTTCTCAGGGAGAACCATGCCCTGTGGCCTTAGATTCTCAGGTGTCCAGAAAGACTTTCATTTGCCGAGCAAAATGTGCACGACCGGAGGATGAAGCCACGTGACTTGAGGCTGTCTGTATGCAAAGGGGAATTGGAGGCATGGTTGGGGATATGCGAGTGCTCTTGACCAAACCCGTGTTGTATTTGTTGGGGCTTGTAGGTGCGTATGTGAAGTTGCCAGAGTTTAAAGTGTTGGGACAGAAAAAATAACTTTTTTAGA